AAATGGGGCCTTACCATGGATCTGGAAATAAGTTTTTACTTAGAGTTGAAAAATGACAAATGAGAGATGATTTATTAGAAATTAGAAAAGAATGTATTAAAAATAGTAAAAAGTAACATGCCAATATAGCAACTTTTTAAATGGATGGTAGGATTATGAGTGATTTTAATTTTCTTCTTTGTAGAAACATTTGGTAATGTTGATGTTCACAAAATGCACTCTTCCCACACATACATTCACAATTAGCATAGAGCTACACCCTAGAACCGGGAGAGCTCCCAAGAGGGTCTATTTGTTTTTTTTAGTTTTTATTTAGTTTTTATTTAGTTTTTATTTATTTTATTATTATTTTTAATTTTTTTTATTGCTAAAAGTATTACAAAGGGTATTACAAATGTGTCCTTTTTCTTTTTCACCGCCCTTGACAATCCCCTGGCCTCCCCTACCCCCCAGTGTCTTATGTCCATTGAGGGTCTATTTGGTAGAAAAAGGACTCTTGTATTGATTTAATGAGCAGTGTGGTATTTTCCAAATATCAGTGAAGCACTTTTTCCTACAATTTGCATGTAGCATCTGTACTATTATTTATTTAATATTTACCTGATATTATTTCACTTGGTTCACTATTTAGCCTTGTCTTAGACAGTAATAACTGTGAAATCACAGGGCTGGTATGTTCATTTAAATTACTTTCTAATACACATTAAAATAAACATATAACTATTAAAATAAAAATGTCAATTTAAAAGCCATCTTGAGATACAAGAAGATACACACAGTATCTTAGGAAACTCAGAAGCTATGCTGATTTAATGGAGAGAATCCTAGAACATAGTCCCTCTGATGCTTCTTCTTTAAGTTAACAGAAACGTTTTATGGCAGCATATTGACAATTCCATTTCAGAATTTGTGCATTTTTGTCATATGTAAAAATGCTGTCAGTCACATTCCCTGCTACACTAGATGGTGTGCAGTCTGTGCTTGGAATGACAAGGAACAGAAGAGATTTGACTGGGTGGTGTGCTGTTGGTTAATTGGTATAGGAAGTAACAGAAGAGCAACTTACATTCGTTATCGGATCATTTTCATTCTCCGTAACACATCCCTGAAGACTGAAGTTGAGAGCTTTACAAATGACCATGATTCTCTTGGCAGCTTTTTCTTCAAATGGTTTGATCACTGACTCGGGTTCTAAAAGATTCTTTTTCTGAAGTTTCAAGGTCTAGAAAAGTTTTGACAGTTTTACTCCACAAAAATCCATCCACACACACAAAAAATGTATAAACCACAATTGTATGGATCAAGTCCCATGTGGGCTTAGAGAAGGAATTCCAACTTACTTCTATATCTGGATCCATGGAGAAGAGATTTAGCCTCTCCAGGTTTCGAGTGGCTTTGACAGTCTCTTCAGTTTCTGTGAGGTACTACAGAAAATACTGTGTTAGCTCCGGTCTAAATTGCCAGATACTTACAGCCCAGCCCCATCAACATGGCAAGAAGTAGCCCCCTTAGTATTATAAGAGTTTTAAAATCACCCATTGACACTTGGCAAGTCTTATAAAAAACATGCTTTGTTTTTTGAATTTTGTGTTTCTTTGCTTAAACCTTAAAAAAAGCATTTCCATCTTTTCCATGAAAGCATTAAGTAGTAAGCAATGCAAATTCATTTGCATAATAATGTATCAGCTTTATTACTTTTGTGAAGTCTGGATGTAGGCTGTTCTCTGAAGAATCTGTTTCCTCTGGTGTGCATTCACATGTGATAGAATTATCCAGCGAATCTTGAAAAGATACATAAAGACAGGTTATTAAATAACAACTAATGAGTCACACCTTTCTCTAGCCTGTGACATTTCAAAACTAGGTTAGCCCCGTGGTCGGCAAACTGTGGCTCGCGAGCCACATGCGGCTCTTTGGCCCCTTGAGTGTGGCTCTTCCTAAGCCTTAGGAGTACCCTAATTAAGTTAATAACAATGTACCTACCTATATAGTTTAAGTTTAAAATATTTGGCTCTCAAAAGAAATTTCAATCAGTGTACTGTTGATATTTGGCTCTGTTGACTAATGAGTTTGCCGACCACTGAAGAGCAGTCTCAACTGGGCTGACTGGGCACTTCAAGTCTCTGACAAGTATCTGTTTCATGCCAGTAGGCTACCTCAGGAATGTCCTCATGGAGATGACAGAAACACAAGAAAGAGCAAGGCCTCTCGAGTTGTAGACTTAGAAGCACCATACTTGCACTTTTGTTTCATTCCATTACCCAAAGCCAGGCACACGGTCAAGTCCAGAGACAGAGGCAGAGGACACTTCAAAGTTAAATGCCCAAGCAGGTAGATGCAGAGAGGGTAAAGGATCATTCAACCCATCAGCAAGACCTATCCATTCTGCCTTAGAAATACTTTCCACACTTGTCTAATACTCCTTCTATGCTATTGCTACCACCACTTCAGTTCACCATGATCTCGTGCAGAGGGAGTGGGGGAAAGAGAGGCTTTGTAATGACTTCCATGTGAGGACAGCCTGGGACCCTTGTCTCCAACCTCATCTCCTTCCATCCTTTCTTTCAGTTTATAGTTGGAACACATCATAATTGCCCAACTTGTACACTATTTTAAGCCTCTGGGGTCTTACTTGGACTGGTCTGTGTCCAAGTAGAGAAGTGGAGTTATTTATCCCTCCTTTTGGTACGACTTCAAAACCCTCTGCCTTATCCCCTAAAAAAAAAGAGAGGAGAAGAGCGTAGATTGGTTTGGCTCAGTGGATAGAGTGTTGGCCTGCACACTGAAGCATCTGAGGTTCGATTCCAGAGAGAGGAGAGAGAGAGAGTAGAGGGAGAGAGAGGAGAGAGAGACTGGGTAAGTGGAGTTATTTATCCCTCCTTTTGGTACGACTTCAAAACCCTCTGCCTTATCCCCTAAAAAAAAAGAGAGGAGAAGAGCGTAGATTGGTTTGGCTCAGTGGATAGAGTGTTGGCCTGCACACTGAAGCATCTGAGGTTCGATTCCAGAGAGAGGAGAGAGAGAGAGTAGAGGGAGAGAGAGGAGAGAGAGACTGGGTTAGACCCAAGAGCGATGAAAGATGGATGTTAGTGAACAGATGCCTTCACTATATCTTGGTTCCAGTACTCCTTACTGTTAGAAAGACATTGGCCGGGAAATCAGACCTTCTAATGATCTTTTGGGATTCTTTCCATGACACCATCCTGTGCTCATGAGAACTCTGAACCCTTACAGTTCTACATTAATACTTGGTGCTGTCTTGACTTACTTCATGAATGCATATTAAAGTTTTTGTACATATGTTTTTATTTTTGATAATTTTGACTCTCAGGCCATCAGTTTAAAACTCACATTATAGCTTCTGTTACTAAACTCTCTACAACTCTGTAAACATTAATTTTCTAGTTGAATATTATTAAGTAAATCATGAATGTAAAATACCTACTATGGTACACGAAGTGGTGTTAAAAGCAACAATGATTTTCTTCCTCATTATCCCATGACTTGTTCACTTAAAAGCACATGATACTTAGGCTACTAGAACTTAAAGACACTTTATTTTCTAATGTACCACGATGCAGTCCAAGATGCCTTAAAATAGTTTTCCTTTGGGAGGAATGATTGACTCTAAAGGTGAAGTTGTTTTCCACATAATGATAGATCTGCTTTATCTACAATTCTTTTCAGTCCTTCTCTCCTCTCTTTTGCTCCCTTCTCTTTGCCTGCAGTGAATTTGAATCTTTTTGAGGGAATTAGGATGGGCAGAAAAATTTATTGTCTTATAAAAAAATCTCTAATACTATGTCAAATTTATGGAACTTTCACATATACATAAGCAGATCTCAGTATGGTCAAAAAGCATACATGCCACTCCTTTTAATTAAAAGGAAGTAATGCATATTTGCCTTCACAGAGTATACTGTTAATTAATTAAATTTAATGAAAAGCTATCAAACACCTCCAGGGTGACATCTCATCAGATCTGGATACATTTCTTATACTGATGACAAATGCTTCCCAACATCATTTGTTGGCCATCAGCCTCAATCACTGTTCGTCCAGTCAAAATCGTACCTATGTGTGGTGACACTCACTATTCAGTACAAGTAAAAATTTAGGGACAATTTCTTGGAACTCAGAGATGGATGAGCTAGACCTGCCAGCTACTATAGCTTCTAGGCGTTTAAATGACCCAAATGCACAGGTCACACTTTGCAAAGGATGGAAGGGGGTGGTGATGTGCTCTTACCCAGCCCCAGATCGGTGAGCTCTGTGCTCCTCCGACCCTGAAGGGGTCCCTCAGGGCTGATTTGCAGGATGCGGTTGAGGGTGTGGATCCATTCATCCATATCGGACTCCGTTTCAGCCGCCAGCACAAAATAGGTCAGGTCATTCATTTTCAATTCAAAGGCATATTTTCTTAGTCTGTTATTCTTTGGTACGAAAAGAAAGAAAAAACACCAGATAAATAAGTCTTAGAGAGAGGGAGACATATTTTGTGGGCTCCTGATGGTTCCAAAGTTTTCCATATAGGTAAGTAACATAAAGAAATTTTCCAAAATAGGACACAAATTTCGATGGGTATGAAACAATCTATAATCCTGATATAGGTATTCAACTCTTACTAACACTGTTCTAAAATCTTTAGAGCCCCCGCGCTATCATAAAGCAAAGCCTATATACTCAGGATAACTCAACTTTGTATAAGTAAAACACACTGGAGAAGAGCCAGAAGATGGGAGTGTGACTATCCTGCGAAATTGCAGATAAATATCAAAGTCTAAATTATTTTATGGGAACAGGGTTGCTCTTCTTGGTGGCAACAAAAAGTAATTTTGAATATCCTCTCGGCAATGTCCTTTTTGGGGGGATGCCTTCAGACACTGTCCCAAAATAACTTGATCCTTTCAACTTCCACAGCACAGTTACAACTACAAAGAGGACACTTACTACATACTCGCCATCTGTATACCAGGCACTGTGCTGAACATTTTACAGTCATTATCTTTTATAAATCTCCCAACAACCTTTGTGTGAAAAATCGTATTATTCCATTTAACATGTGATGACATTGCGGCTTGGGCAGGTAAGCTAGGAATTACACGGGTAGCAAGTGGTAGAAAGGGGAAATAATCTCTTTAGACTTTAACACCCACTGAGACGAACCGGGTATAAAGAAGATGCTCTGTGAATGCCATCCTCCTTCCTTGCTACCTCCCTGGCACAATCACCCACCAACAGGGTAGCTGTGGCCTGGAGGTAATAGATTTTCCATGTGCTGAGAATAGACAGTGAGACAACATAGATGCCTCATGAAAAAGTAAAATTTGGAAATTGAAGGAGAAAGAAGAATCAGTTTAAAAGCTACGTGTGATTCTCACTGTAAAATGTCACAGTTCAAATGCTGTTTTCTGCACTCTTCCAATGACGAGCTATTTGCTCCCGTCCATACTTTTGTACTATTGTCAAAGGTATTATTTCCTTGCCTTGTAATGACTCACTTGCAGGCTGGCTCTTTTATTTGTCCATGAGCTTGATTGGAGCAGAAGCTGCCTAACTGTCCTCAGTGCTCAGGGCGGTGATAACATTCACTCCTAAAGAGGCGTCTATTGTGTTTGCATTTTGTGTCAGGTAGAAACAAAGCCTCTGCCCTGGCAGAGCAGGGAGATAGGCCTTTTGAAACACAGTGTGATATTGGGAGATAAATGTACTCACATTTTGTATGAGTATGTTGAAGAAAAGGTATAAAGTCAAGGTATTAATATGCTTTTTGAGAACAGAATTGCTATTGGCATATGAGAATATAGCTGGTCTCATGAGAGCACAGGGCAGGATGGCTTTGGCAAGTAAAAGTCCAGAGCTGCATTTGGAAAAAATTATTTGGCTACAGTGTCAACAGAATGAGGAGTCACCAGAAAGGCAGTGGCCTCAAACTACTGTGTGCAAAGCCAACATCTAGGCAGCCTCTTTAAGAATGCAAGTTCTTAGAAGCCACGCTCCCCGCAGGGAGAGTGAGCAGACTCCCTCCATACACTCTCACACAAGCTTCCTGGGCTTCTGTCCAAGGAGGTCCATTGAACCGCCTGTGACCTCAGTGACACAGAGTGCCTAAGGACAAAGACGAGTTGGCTGACAGCACATATAAAAAAGAGAGACAGGTTTCTTTAAAAAAACAAACAAACAAACAAACAAACAAACAAAAGACGAAGCCCACAGGAAGAGAAATAGACAAAGAGAGAAAAACTAGAAATGCCCAGAGTTCAAGACCTCACTTTGGCTAGGACAGTGGTTGGCAAACTGTGGCTCGCGAGCCACATGTGGCTCTTTGGCCCCCTCTTCCTAAGCCTTAGGTGTGCCCTAATTAAGTTAATAACAATGTACCTACCTATATAGTTTAAATTTAAAAAATTTGGCTCTCAAAAGAAATTTCAATCATTGTACTGTTGATATTTGGCTCTGTTGACTAATGAGTTTGCCGACCACTGGGCTAGGATATTGTTAATTATTTGACAATTGCAAATGCAAGCCAATCTCAGTGCTGTCTTGAAAACAAACAAGTTAAAGAGTCTCCTTGACTAATCTGATGTTGTAAATCATGAGAACTGGGAGATGCAGCTATGCAAACTGCTGATACTGGGTCCAAGTTAAAAGTGGATCAAGCTGTAACCTGCTTTCCAATGCTGATGCTAAGAAACTAATAAAAATTTTAGAAAGAAACATTATGAAATATTTAAAAAATGTTGATTTCCTAAATTGCATTCTGTACATCAAATAAATTTAATATTGATGCCAAGTTCAACAATATTATTACAAATATTTTTTAAAACTTTGTGTGAATTATTATAAGCCAGCCCTTGGTTCTCACAAAGAGGTGGTATTTATAAATAAAATAAATATTCTATTTACAACTGCTCAGATACCAAATAATTTTTTTTAAAATTTGGAGAGAAATAGAACCGCTTTCAGTGTTGAGAGGTTTATGTTGGAGAGGACTTAGATGTCTAAAGTGGTTTTCTATCTCACTCTCCAAAATAATGGCATATCAACTGGCAAAAAAGAAAGGACAGAAATAGAAAAATCAATGGAACATTTTAATAATCTTGAAATGCAATAGTTAAATCATTACAATGGCATTCATAAAGTAATCATACTCATTTCACTCCCCCAATGTTCCCGTTTCCATGAAATCAGTGTTCTTTGTATCCACTGCAACGACTTTGCTCATCCAAGCTCACCACAGCCCACCTACATGGCATCATAAACAATAGGAAATTGAATGTGGCCTAATGCCATCTGATGTGTTTAATGAGTTGTAGCAAACTGGTCTGTTTCTACAGTGTTCATCTGGAAAAGTTTTGAAATAGATACTCCAAGGACGCCACTAAAGTCAACGGAGGACTGAATGTCGAAGAATGAAGTTACCCAAACAAAATATTCCATCACGCCAGCAATGGTGCTAGCATCTTTTACAGAATTTTTCAGAAACTAAAGAAGAGTTTTAAAAGGAAACACACAACATCAACTCCAGGTTACCGGTATTGCTGGCTACCACCCGTGCAATTCTGTTCATTCTCTGTATGTTTATTTGTTCATTTATAAACAATATTAGGTACCCTCTATGTGCCAAGTACATAGCATTAAAAAACACATGTAAAGTGCTTGCCCTCTTTGAACTTACATTCTAGTGTAATGGAGTGTCAATAAACAAATAAATGGAACTAACACATATATACTATGTATAATGTAATATAATGCAATTTATCATCATCAGTGATAAATAGAATTTCACTCTTGCATGTATTATCAGAACTTAATGTTTGAAATGAGTCATTTATGCTTTATTTTCACACACGATATATATATATATATATTTTCTGTTCATCCTCCTACAGGCTGTAAGCTCTTTGAAGACAGAAACCACATCTAATTCATATGTGGCTTTCCCACAATGCCTTGCATATAGAAAGCATTTCAATATACATTTGATGAAGTAAACCCTACATCTAAAATGCACTGTTTAGAACCGCACATAAACACATCTTTATAGTGTTTCCTGTGCCCATGTGGCTTACACAGGATAAATGTATGTGTGTATGTGTACAGGTATGTCCACTCATGTATAATAACCAAATGATTTTCTCGGGCATCTTTTTGTAATTTTGGACATTCCTGTGCCTCAGATCTAATTTTGCCATTTATTAGTTCTGTGACTTGGAAAGGTATTTTATCTCTCTGAGGTGTTTTTGTTTGTTTGTTTTTTAATCCTCACTCAAGGACATTTTTTCCATTGATTCTTAGAGAGAGTGGTAGAGAGAAGGAAAGACAGAGATAAACACTGATGTGAGAGACACATCAATTGTTTGCCTCCCGAATGTCCTTGACCAGGACCAGGAGCCTGCAACCGATACATGCCCTTGACCAGAATTGAACCCTGGAGCCTTCAGTCTGATGCTCTACCCATTGAGCCAAACCGGCTAGGGCTTTTTTTTTTTTTAACACATTGAGACAATAATAATGTGAAATTTGAGGTAATATTGCTAAAACACTTGATTGCTTCAATTTTTATGTAAGAGGGAATAAGGATAGCTATTTAATCAGAGTAGAAAGAATAAATGTCTTGAAAGTAAGAGATCCAAATGAGGTCTGTGGAATTATCTGCTGCCCTTTGCCACCGTGGTCTGTGCCAAATTGAATATTAAGGACAATAGTCTGAAGATCAAGATGTTGCAGAAGAGCATTGTCTGTTTCTTAAATTAAGCTCTTGGGAATCAATGTAATCCTTGTCTTTGAGGGAAACATCCTCTTAGAAGGAAGATGATATATATGCACATTATAAATTTACTATCTCATATCTTATAATAAAGAAAATATTTATGAAGTGTATCTTTTGAGTTATATGATTTACATGTTATCTTACAAAATTCTTTAGTTCAGCGGTTCTCTAATGCAGCTACACAGGTGGCCATTTTCCTCGAATATATAAGACTTGCTCTTGCCTCAGGACCTCTGCATGTGCTGCCCTGCTCAGTTTTCAGTCTCTAGATCAAATACTTTCTCTTCAAACATACTTTTCTCACTTCTAGAAAATTAACATTCTTTTCCAATGTCATCATTTGTCTCTCTCCCTTCAGTATCCCTGTTTCTTTTCTTTATTCCAGATTTCACCAACTGATTCTATTGTTTATTTATTTCTTTGCCTATTTTCTGTTTTTTCTTCCTTTATTGAAAGTTAAGTTTTGTGAAAGCAGGAATCCAGGTTGTCTTGTTCTCCACTGAATCCCTAGGGTCTAGAACAATTTTTGGCTCATCTCAGATACTCCATAAATATTTGTGGAAAAATAACTGATGACTGGATGAACATATTCTTTGATTTAAAAACAACAACAACAACAAAAAAAGCCAAGAGGGAAAAAAAGATTCCTACTCACCTGCACCACACCTGTACAAGAATCCAAAAAGATGCAGCCTTTGGGTTCTTTGGATATTTTTTCATCTTTGTAAAAATTCATGATGTAGGAGCTATCAGGCAACTGAGTCAGCTGAAAGTAGCGCTTTTTGAATGACTAAATAATGAAAAAGATACAGGAAAGTAGTTGAGGTTGCAGTGTCCTATTACTCACAGAAAGTAGCATTTTTTTCTAATTCCTCCAGGAGTGCGACACCTGTAGGGTGCTGTTTGAGAGAAGAGCACACTCCTTTCTCATCAATAAAATATGACACAGAACATAAACTCAATGCAAATGGCTCTCCTCTGTGCTCTGACCGAAGAAGGGGTGTCGGGAAAGGTGGCAGACACAAAGATGCGTCCTGATGGCTCCTTACCCGCACAGTAATGGTATTGTTCACGGTGCTGTTGAAATTCCCCTTGTAGAGCCAGCCAGACTTGAAAACTCCAGTTCCTCCCGCGCCCCCACCGCCCTTGGAAGACGAGTGGGAGGTGGTATCCTGTACAAAAGCATCATTAGCATGACTGCAATCTTTTGTGAATCCCAGATCTTCTGCACTTGCACTTAAAAATGAGCCTCTTTTTCTCTCTTTGACTCATCTCAAATAATCATGTTCAATCTCAAAACAAATGTGACTCATTTTGACTAAAAGCCCTCATACAAACAGTTACTGCAGCTTGATGAAAACTGTTCAGAACATGGAACACTCAAGTGAAAGACAGGCACTAATTATCCTCATGTTTTAAACATTTCACTTTCAACAATTTACTTACTTCATCCTTATCAGCATCTTCATGGTCAACCTCAAAGGAATGTGAAGGAAGTTTCTCTGGCTTGTACTCTGCTCTAAGATTAAAACAAAAATAAAGGTTCTGACTTGTCATTTGAGACACGGCTTTCATTTTCAGCTGTTTCCTGGGTAACAACTACTGCATTTTTTAATAAAATAATGTAACCTTGTGAAGATCCCATTTTCTTTGGAGGTATTAACCTCCCCCTACACCTTGACATCTTAATCCAGCAAATAAATCTCTATTTTAATCCATGGAGTTAATATTTATGCAGGTTTACACACTGAATGGGATGAAGGTGAGCAGGACAATTTGTAGGTTTGATGGTTTGTATTTTCCTCTTCCACATGCTGATGTGATATTTTCATTACCTTTCTGCTTCACCTTTTTATGACATGCCCCAGGGTACAGGCGGTCATTTGAAGAACTGTGTTCCAGAAAACAAGTCTGTGATCTGGCCACTAGACTGTGCTGCTCCCTTAACCATGGTCTCCCCAAAAGTCTGCATCCATTATTGGCAATTGTGCTCACTTTGTGAAATCCCATGGTAGCATAGAAACACCTCTGTGTCATAGCATCACCGGCCAGCTCTGGGGAGTGAGAGCATACACCTGGCTCTATACACGGAAATATAAGACAGAAATAAGTTTTCCTTGGCTTGATTCTGTCTCACACCTCATGGCAGAATGGAAACCAGACATTATCATTCAAGGTTCAGATCTTTCTTGATTCCTAGTTAGACATTTTTACATGTAGAATTTGCCCGACATATTTGTTTTCTTTAAGATGATGTAGACTGTGTAGAAGCAACCTCACAATCTGACTATTGAGAGGAAAAAGCCCAGTGGCATATTCAATATTCCCATCACAAAGAATCTTCTACGTTGAAGGTATTCCAGAGAGCATCACTCAGCCAAGTCCATTAGTCCCTAACAATATTCTTGCTGACCTTATGTTCATAGAAAAAAAAGTGCAGACCTGTGTGTGCCAATTTATATCCTATCGTGGGGGTGGGGGGGAGGGGGTGAGTGAATATCTTTTCATTGCTGGCTTTTCTTAATTCTGAGTTTGCTTGATCAAATTCAATGGGAATGCAGAGTTGCTTTAATTCTTGGAGGTTATTCTTTGCCAGTAAATGATCCAGTACCCAGATAGTACCTGCTACACAGAAGACCCCCAATAATATATACCAGAAAACAAATCCCCAACCTGAGGAAGTGAGCATTCCAAGGAAGGAGAGAATAGATAATAGCACACATAAACAAGATAATTTCCTGGGGTGAAAACGGTTGTGAAGAAATTTAAAGTGGGGCGGAGAACAGACTGATCCAAGTAGGGATGGAAGAGACCAGATTTAGAAAGGGTGGTCATGGATGGCCATTTAAATTGAGACTCAACCGAAGCTGGCCATGTGATGATCTGGGGAAGGTCATTCTGGCATAGTGAATGGCGACAGTACCGGTCCCGGGGAGGAACCAAGTTGGAGTGCCCAGGAGTGGAAGGCTGGGGGCTGGAGCACAGTCGGGGAAGGAGAGCAATAGGAGGTAAGAGCAGCCATGTATGAAAAAGTATGGGGGCTATTGAGGGGTCATCTTTCCCAGTCATTCGGGTCTCACTGCCCCGCACAGCACAACCCTCCTTGCCTTTAAGTAATCATGTCACCACTCAGTCTCTCATGCCTGCAGGGCCATTAAGCAAAGACCATTCACCCTTTCACAGACCATGGAAAGATAAGTACCTCTGCTTCCGAGTTTAACATTCTTCCCCCAGCAGCACTGTGTGGTCTCTGAATCTTTGGGACCCTGAAGTAAAGGGCTCAGTAGGGACCCTCTGATGTTTGAACTCAACATTAGCTATCATTTCTAGGCAGTCTCATTGCTCACTTCTACACCCAAATTACCCCCATCGCCCACAAAAGGGGTTGGGGATGCCTGCGAGCCTCCTTGGTTACAGTTGTGAGATTCGAGGTGAGTTACTATCCCTCTCAGTGCCCCAGTTTCCTTTATACAGCAAGGATAACAGTTCCTACTCTGTGGGATTATGCATGCTAAATGAGATAACATACAAATGGAACCTAGCGCACTCGGAAAACATTCTTTTATTAAAAAAACTATTCTAATTAATCCAGAACCTCAACTTGGTTACATTTCATTTGATATTCAGTCACAAAATACATTCTGTAAAATGTTCTTCTTTATATCAAAACAGCTGTAGTAAAAAAACTTAGATATGTCATATATCTTTGCGTTTTACTCCGTGGATTAATGTGATCAGTGGCATCATATATATCTTCTAAATTATGGTATTATTGATAAATAATATATTAGTTTCAGGTGTACAATATAATGATTTGTATATAATGCGAAAATGATCTCCTGGGTAAGTTTAGTTAATGTCTGTCACCATACATAGACTTTTTTCCCCCTTTGATGAGGATTTTTAATATCTACTCTCAGTAACTTTCAAATATGCAATAGTGTATTACTAACTATAGTCACCATCCTGTACATTACATCCCTATGACATTTATTTTATAACTGGAAATACCTTTGATTCTCTTCAACTATTTTGCTTCCCCCCCACCTCCTGCCTCTGATAACCATCAATCTGTTCTCTGTATCTATGAGCTTGTTTTTTCTTTTTTGTTTGTTTGTTTTCAAATTCCCGATATAAGTAAGATCATATGGTATTTGTCCTTCTCTAACTTATTTCACTTAGCATAATTCCCTTGAGAACCACCTATGTTATTGGAAATGGCGAGATTTCACTTTTTTTTTTTTTATGATGGAACAGTATTCCATTCACTCATCAAATAGACAGATTGTTTTTATATCTTGGCTATTGTAAATAGCACTGCAGTGAACATGGGATGTATGTATCTTTTCAAACTGGTGTTTTCATTTTCTTCAGATAAATACCCAGAAGTGAAATTGCTGGATTATTTTAATTTTTTTTGAGGAACCTCCATACTGGTTTCCATAGTGACTGCACCAATTTACTTTCCCATCAACAATACACCAGGGTTCTCTTTTCTCCACATCCTCACTAACACTTGTTATTTCTTGTCTTTTTATAATAGAGATTCTAACATGTATGAGTAGATAGCTAATGGTGGTTTTGATTTTACTTTCCATTGTCATGTACCTGTTGGCCACCTGTATGTCTTCTTTGAAAAAAATGTCTATTCAGAGCCTCTTTCCATTTTTAATTAGATTGGTTTTCTTTTGTGTGTGTGTCGGGGGGAGGGGGGTTTGTTTTTTACTATTGAGTTGTATGAGTTTTTGCTATTGAGTTTGTATATTTTGGATATTAACTCCTTATCAGATATATGATTTGTAAATATTTTCTTCTATTCAATAGATTACCTTTGCATTTTGTTGATAGTTTTCTTCGCTGTGCAGAAGCTTTTTAGTTTGATGTAGTCCCACTTTATATTTTTGCTTTTGTTGCCTTTTATTTCGGTGTCAAAAAACAAAACACAACCATTGCCACCAACAATGTTAAGGAGCTTATCCCCCCTGCTTTCTTCTAGGAGCTTTATGGCTTCAGGTCTTACATTCAAGTCTCTGATCCATTTCAAGTTAATTTTTGTGCATGGCGTAAGACAGCAGTCTCGTTTCACTCTTGTGCATGTGCTGTCTAGTTTTCTCAACACCATTTGTTAAAGAGATGCTCCTTTCCTCATTGAATATATATACTTGGCTCCACTGGCATCATACATTTTTATGTCATTCTGGAACCACAAGTTCAGCGATTTTTTTTTTATTCCTTATGTGTGAAGGCTTTACATTTCACATTTCTCCAGTATCTTCCTATAAACAGACACTTAAAAAAGTGGAGTTCTTAAGCCTTAATAATAATACAATTTTAAATTTAAGAATAAAAATGAGGAATATAAACACACCTCTTTTTTCACTGAATTGCAAGTTTTCATTTTGTAACCTCAGCAATCCATAAAAAGAAATGATCAATTTTAATTGTTAGCAGACACAGGAGAATTCTCCTGATACAGGAGGTATGAAAATGATTTACTTCTAATAGCCTCAGAAGGCCCAAGTAAAGTATCTGTCCCCACTACTGACCTAAATACATGTAATGGGGAGTGCTTAGCTTTGTAAAATAATTTTAAAAACAGTTTTGCTAATCAGTGTTACAGTCTTCATTATTTCAGGGGCTATGTGAGGATTATATTTCTGGATTATAGTCTAGAAATTCTGATTTTCATTTTGAATATATATACTTTTTTTTTCTTTAAACTTTCTTACTTTATGACAGTCTTATTCTTCCCCATTCATGGTATCAACTTCCACTTCCTTTAGTTAAAGTAAAAAAATTATCAACAATGTTTTGGTTCCTATTGCATTTCTTCTCTCAAGATTTTTTTCTTATGCTCTAAGGGCATTCCAATTCAACAAGACTCTGTATTTACTGTAGGTGCTTTCTCTATTGTTTTAATAGAGGAAAAATACCACCAATCTTTTCTTTCGTTTATTTTCATTAAATTTATTGGGGTGACATTGGTTAATAAAATTATATAGGTAATGCAGTATCCCAATAGCTTGGGCACAACCTCCAAGTTGTAACCACTTCTCTGAACTATTTTGGAAAAGAGGAAGTCTTGATGTGAGAAAAAAATGCTTTGCTTTTCAATTGCACTGATAAAACTTGTGTGCTAACACCCAGACGTTCTGAATTACTCACGCACACCTGTGTGATGGGACCTTCTTAATGAGCAGTTGCAGAAAGTTATCTATTACAAGTTACCTGACTCTAATGGAATGTCCAGAGATTTGGTAAAAGTTAATGTTCACTGTTTGTTTGTTTTTTTTTAAAACAACAACAACAAAACACATGTGCTGCTTTGGAGGAACATTGGGTCTTCATAGTAATGCAACTCCAAAAGAAATGACCCCTGCCCCCATACACCTCTCTTTTTCCTATTCTCATCACTGCAATCCCCTTTTCCATAGAGTAGAACAAGTAATCTTTCGAAGAGGTAAAACAGATCATGTCACACTCCTGATTAAACATTTCATGGGCTTCTGTTGCAATGAGAGAAAAATCCAAGCTCCTTTCCAGGGCCCACAATGTCTCCTGCCTAGGTTTCCAGAGTTTCGTTTCTCTACTCTCTTTCCAACCCTCAGCTCCAGCCTCCTTGATTATCATTCTGTTCAAGTGACCATGCTTATTCCCACCTCGGGGCCTTTGCCCATCCTGTTCCCTCTAGGAACCTTTTCCCAAGATCACAGTGCTGGTAGTGACTGTTACTTCACATCTGAGCTCAAATGCCACCTTCTCAGAGCCATTGCCTAACTCCTCCTTCCTATTCTGCATTTTGAAGTTGAGAGCACTTTCAAGTACCCGAATCTGAAAAAGATGTTTTTTGGGGGCAAGGGAAATCTTAGAAAGTGGAACCCAAATCTGAGCCATGTGTCCATGAAAAGTTAGATGCCATGTGTATCATCTCAATATTTCACTTGAGGAAAGTGTTAATAAAAACATATCTCTGAATTATCTCAAGTGTTTTTCTGGGTTATTTGCATCATTTTAATTTGATGAACCAATGCACTGAAAGATCACAGTTTATTTAAATTCCTTAAATTTTAGCATCCAATCCCATCTAGGAATCCTGCATTTTGAAATTTGCCATTCACTCAGTTTATTTATCTGATAAGTAATTATTGCACACCTAATATGTGCTAGGCATTCTCATAGGCCTACAGGAGATTCTGCAAGGAAACTCCCTGCACTTTGGGGGTTTTTACTTCAGTGGGGACACAAACACTGCATCAGTAACTGCTTTAGTTCAGGTGAGCTTCTCTGTGAAGCTGACATTCTCAGAGTGTAAAGAAAAAAGTCACCTTCTCCTAAAGGCTTCATTTTCCCCAGAGTCTAGAAAAGGAGGTGTTTATTTACCCCTTTTAGCTTTTCTTAGGCATATATCATTTCTGTGGAGGTTGCTTATTTTAGTAAATTTTAAAAATATATTTTTATTGATTTCAGAGAGGAAGGGAGAGGGAGAGAGAGATAGAAACATCAGTGATGAGAGATAAACACTGATAGGTTGCCTCTTGCACATCCCCTACTGGGGATCAAGCCCACAACCCGGGCATGTGCCCTTGACTGGAATCGAACCTGTGACCCTTTAGTCTGCAGGCCAATGCTTTATTCTCTGAGCCAAACCGGCTAGGGCTATTTTAGTGATTTTTGATATCCCAGCATGAAGATACACAGACCCAGTGGCAAATCTGGACACTATATACAGAATATTGTTAGCAACATTTTTTATCCAAATTGTAGTTTTCTAACCTTGTGTCTGCTATTGAAAGGACAGCTCACAAAAATGATATAACAATATCTTCAAATTTTGTTCAAAATTAAATAAGTATATTTATAGCTTATTCCAAATTTTTGTCACTATATAAACATTGCATTGTTGAGTAAAATATTCTATTGTGATTCTTATTTTTAAATTGTATAAAATATTCCTTGACACTAGATTAACAAACATGTGTTCATAAACAATGGCAGAACTTAAACAACTATATGTTTTATATATGGGAAAACCCAAGTTCTACTTATAATAGGTTCTTACCGAGGTAACTGTCGAATGTCTCCAGAATATTGTTCATATTTGTAGTTTACCACGTACCACTGGGAACTATAAAATTTACAAGCCTTAAAGAAAAACAACAACAATAATTAAACAATTATCATTAAAAAATTCAGGTGTCCTCGCAAAAAGTACTAGAATACAGTTCTCATGACCTCTGGGGTCATGTTAAGGTACGTATGCTAGTGATGCTAAGGTAGGTAAGGGGCTTGCTCATCATAATCATTTCACACTTTCCAGTGAAATGAAAGTCCCACCTTTCCAAGACTCTTGGAGGAGGAACCATTGCACATATTTATTCTATTTTGCTCCATCAAGGAAGACCTAGTTTATCACTTGCTGAATCACACCAAGGACATGTTGTTAACCTCAAGTACCATCATTTCTCAGCTGTTCTTTGGCAAACCCTTCTATAACTTAAAAGCTTTTAGTAGAGAAAGATGTTATTTATATACTAGTAGCCCTGTGCATGAATCTGTGTGCCAGTAGGTTGCTGCCTCCCTCCTGTAGCTCTCTGCCCGCTGCCCCATCCTCCTGTAGCTCACCTTCCCCCCACCCCCACCCCCGCGCATAGCTTGTTGCCCTGCCCCTTCCTCTAGCTTGCTTGTACCTCTCTGGCCCACCCTCCCACTGATCCGTGATCTGGTCGTGACATGCTTGTTCATTACGCCTCAGGGTGTAACGGCTAATTAGTATATTCCTCTCTTATTATATAGGATATCTTTTCATAATATTTTAGCCCATTTCTTCTTGTTTTGTATTAGTAAGTTTCCTTTTTCTCTTTATATCAACACTTATTGACTTGAAATCTGTTTGCCAGTTTCCCTCACTGCCTTCTAAACCCAGCCTTCTTCATCGCTGTTCATGGATTTTACACATATACTGCTATGTGAACAAAAGATGATAAAAAACTATTTATTAAAAAAAAAACATAAATATTAACAACACAAAACAATCTATATATATGAAAGGCTAATATGTTAAGTGTCTGACTGTCCAACCAGTTGCTATAAAGCACACTGACCACCAGAGGGAAGACGCTTAATGCAGGAGCTGCTGTGACATGCACTGGCCATTTACAGAGAAATGGCAGCGCGGACCTGGTGCCAACAAAGCAACACTCAGCTTCCCCCAAGTGGGACACAGGCCCTGCCACCACCCTGGAGCAACACCCCACCAAATTGCAGCTAATGCTGCCAAGACTCCATGGGGCAAAATGCGGCCCACAGCCCTGCCCAGCCCAGCCTGGAAACAGTCGCTGAGGGTGCCGGGTAATGACATCACGTAGCAATGCACGGCTTCCTCTCCCTAGTGACTAGCCTCTTTGGAGTTTCTTCAGCTCAGAAACACAACCTGCTTTATAGCCAGGTGGAAACATTTTACACTTTAACCAAATGTCTGTGAAGTGTTTTCCCGTGCCTCATCGCCTTTGATCCTCCCAAAGTCCTGGAGTAGGTAGATAGGAGACTCGATGGAATCCTATTTTCTTTTCATTAGCCAGAAAATGGAGATTTAGAAAGCTTAGAAACTTGACCCGACTGAAAAGTAAGAAATGATGGACCTTGAAAATGACTTCAGGTTTTCTCACTGTGCAGAATATAGTCAAACACTACTGCAGTTAAATATTTTACCCCTTGTTCTCCCTGTGTGATCTACAATAATAATCTGCTTTGTGTTGATATTTACTGCTGTGTTGCTGACAATTACCTGAAAGAGAAGTTGGGGTGCTTCACTAGGATGGAAAAAGTTTACCTAAATCAGAAAGCAGGTCTAATTAAGCAAGTTTATCTCTCTATATAAAGCTGTCGCTGGCACCAATTGCACGTGTGTGTTTCGATCTGTCATCATCGATTGTGAATTTGGTTGATACTTCTATTATAAAGGGTGAATAGTGATATTAAAATATTTCTTCTAACTAATCTCCTTTCAATGTGCAAAAATTCCTGCACTGGGGCACTAGTTATATTATAGTGGTCTATAGTGAATGATTTTATAGTATTTACTGATGGCACATATTTCTCAAACTCCTACCATGCACTTATCAACCCCTTACTGTGGGTTGGTAATGGGATTTCACTAGGTGGCTTTCAGATTCCTTTTGTTTCTGAAATTATATGACTCTGGGGATTAAGCTGCTGCTAGGATTAGATGGAAATTTTGTCTTCTAGCATCAGTGGTAGTATGACGAGCAATAAACTTGATGCAATGTGAGGAATAAAGATCTATGATTGCTTTTGTGACCAAGAAGGGATAGGCAGGATCTCTTTGTGACATCAATCAACTCAAGGTGCAGAACAGAGAGCACTGGCACTGCTTTTGCAGAAACAGAAAGTGAGAGGGGATGGCCCAGTGGATGGTGTAGAAAGGTTGATGGGGAACCCAGGATGCAGGCACCTGGCTCAAGATGCACAGAATATGCAGGAAGAGGGGAGAGGGATGAGTCTTCAGTTGCTATGGGTTTCTTTGGCCTTGAACTTTCTTAGCACCATAGGTTTATTTGTTCAGGGAAACACCCACACACAAATCAGGGACTGAGGGTGAAATAATACATGAGACTGGGACAAAGACAGGAGTAGGAGGATGAGGGCAGGGCCTGCAGGAGAAGAGAGCTTAAAAACAAAACAGCAACAAGGCCAACAGATGAATAAAAGAGAATTCAGGAGATCTGTAATGACCAGACTGGGAGAGATGTGAACAAAACTGAATATTTAGCTAATATTAAATTTCTTAACTTGCCAATTCCTGAGCCAGTTCTGCAGATCACATGTTTCTGTATATAAGAGGAAAACTGAGCCCTGATATGATCCTTGGCTAACAAGTTCCATGTTCCTTTAAGGATGCCAGGGATTCAGGTAACAAGCATATAGGCATATAGTATCCCAAGCCTTAGAGACAGAACATTCATGATTATAGTTCTTTCTTACCTTTTCTCACTTACATTCCTTTCTCAATACCTTGCTATAGTTCTCAAATGAAATAAAACATATTCTAAACATAAAACAAAAAGCATAAAACCCACTCCCTTTTTGCATTCCCTTTTAATCTTTTTTTCTGATATATAGCTTTACCTCATTCCCCTGTAAGTATATATTAGAATTTAAATAGTTTTTTGTTCACAGAATGGCATATTCTAAAGATTTTTAAATTTGCTTTCTAAATTCTATGACCACTTTAAAGAAGTACAATAAAGTAGAATAATTTATTAACCCAGACTCCTAGTTTTGAAGTCATCAATTAATTAATTCAACAAACATTATGGAGCCCTTACTATGTGCCTGGGGTTGTTCTAAGTGATGGAAACCTATCAGTGATCAAGAGGCTAAAAGTCATTCCCTCTTGAAATGTATCCCTTTGTGAAAACATGATTAATAAATACACAAAAAAATTGTGCAATATGTTAGCAGATAATGCCTGTGGGATCGGGCCTAACCTGGCAGTCAGACATCCCCCGAGGGGTCCAGATTGGAGAAGGTGCAGGCTGGGCTGAGGGGACACCCCCCCCCCAAGTGCACAGATTTCATGCACCGGGCCTCTAGTTTAGAATATTGGAATAAAGTAGAAATTTCTGCCCCATAATATCTATCTCTATACTTTCTGATCTGGAGTTTTTCCAAAAATGCATTGATTTACATGTCTTTTCTTGTTATGGATAGTACCTATTTTTAAGCATGATAAACATGTCTACTCATTCATATTACACACAATATCCATAATGTGCCATAGGCTTAACTGAATAAATCTAAGATGTGGTAATCCTGAATTTCACTGGCCAAAAATGAATTGGTACTTACTTTTTTATATTAGTGTGCTATATATATTTTTTAATATATTTTATTGATTTTTTTATAGAGAGGAAGGGAGAGGGATAGAGAGTTAGAAACATCAATGAGAGAGAAACATTGACCAGCTGCCTCCTGCACATCCCTACTGGGGATGTGCCTGCAACCAAGGTGCATGCCCTTGACCGGAATTGAACCCAGGACCCTTGAGTCCGCAGGCCGACGCTCTATCCACTGAGCCAAACCAGTTAGGGCTAGTGTGCTATATTAAAGAACTACCTCTTTTTCTTTATTTGTCTTGGAGAGGCAAGTGCTTGTTAGATACTGTACTACTAGGCACTTTATATATCATCTTAATAAACACTCAAAGATATTTTATGATTCCCATCTTAAAGATCACAGAGGCAAAGAGAGCCTCAGAACTTTGCTCAAGATCCTACACGTGATTTCAAACTGGATTTGTCTGACTCTCAAAGTCCATTCAGCTAATTTATGAATTGCATGATGATTGCAGACACTGGACCATCATTCCAGACGTTTTTATGGAATTTCTGTTTCTGTCTTGGAATAAGACAGACCTGGTTTTTAATTTTGGTGTTAGCTCAATTAAGTAACTTAACAACTCTAAATTTCCTTATCTGTCTAAATAATACCAACTTTAATAGGATCAAATAACACAATTCCTATAAAGCTCTTAGCATAGGGTAAATACTTAATCAATAGTTGCTTTAAAAATCAGTTTTTCAGTTTGACTCAATCTATAATTCACATTCACAACAGTTGATGATAACTTGTTTTTCCTGATTTATAAAAGCACAGTTCTGGGAAGATAGATGTATTAGCTCTGATTATCAAAGAATCTTGTTGGAATCAAGTCATTTATGAATTTATGGGCCAGATTTAATGTATCTGGTGGTGGGTAGATGAGAATTAAGGTTACACTAGATAACCCTTAAGAATCCTTCTGAATCTGTGATTTCTCTGATTCTGAGAAAGCCAATGCATTTTACAAACACATAAATGCTTCCCATACATAGCTATGGCATCTTGGAAATGTTATGCATGGAAAATTACTCTCTATCCTTTGTTCCAGCCCACACAGTCACTCTAAGAAGATCATTAAGAACTATGATAATTATGACTACAACTCCTCTCTGTCCAAAATGTAAGCTGAAGTGACCTGTTGCAAATTCAAAGTCACAGGCTACAACTGTGCTTGTTACCATAAGGCAATTGCTCCATTTTCTCCTTGCCAATGACCAATCCCACAACACCAGTTTCAAAAT